TGTATTTTCTGAAGGAACTGAGCTGGCTGGCAGAACAGACCGCAGCCTTTTCCACCCATGGCCTGAAGGCAAAAGAAGAGTTTCATACCGAATGGGAAGCCACACAGGGCTCTTAGGTGCCATTAGGCTTAGGAAATTGCTGACAGGGTTTTCAGGTCATATTATCAGTTTTGGATGTAGGCAGAATTTAGATACCTTGATTCCATTTAAAGCGCTTAAGTCTTTATTTACATTTAGTCCCAAGTTCTTTTGATGCACTGGGCTCCTCAGTTTCCAGGCATGCACCAAGGACACTGGAAATGGGTGAGCTTTTAGGGATTGATGTATTCTAAGGTGAAGCATAAGTATTTACACTTACTTGGAGTACGGCTGAAGATATCAAACAGGGAGGGAGAGAAAACTGATCCTTGTGTATAAAAATCTCAAGATTAACAAAAAGGCCCACTTTGGTATCATTTGCATACAAATTCTAAATCCTCATCAATTTAATGGAAGTCTGGAATACTCATGAATTGTTGGCTAACATACAGACTGGAAAAGTTCCCCAAAAAGTGTTTCATTACTTGTGTGGGTGTGGGGAAAGCGTTATAATTCGTCAACCGTATCTGAGTAGTTATGTTACTTTATCACTTTCTAAGCCAAAGAGCTATTTTTAAATTGAATTAAAAAATGCTACTTATGCAGTTATCTGGTGGATACTCTCCAAAACAGGATTTCTGTAGCTATCTTGGGTCAGAAGAACATGATGAATCAGCAGGCAACCACCACCAGTTTAAATTTGATTAGTTCCTTTTATATGTTCATTCATCCACTAAGATGTGGTTTGCATCCTTCCCTTGTAATTCACTCCTGATACTCTTAAATGTAAAGGAATCTAAATGTGGTATAATTTATTTAATTCAGAGCCAGAAAAGCAGAGCCTTAGGAGGAAAAAAACAAACAAAAAAACCCAAACAAAAAACCAAACAAAAAACACAAACAAAAAACCAAACAAAAAACACAAACAAACAAAACAAAAACAAACAAACAAAAACAACAAATAAAAACACTAATAAGAGACTACTATTCACTGAGGCATAGTTGTCCTGCCAAAGTCTCTGTAACTCCTACCTTTCTCCAGAGCAACCCCTCATATCATGGATTGAGAGTATAGCAAAGGTAATATTGATTGTCTGGGTATCACGCTGTCTTGCCTGTTTAATCCTTATGAAATTTGAAAAGGGAGAAATACTCGTCTCTCTGTCACATCTGTTTTAGTTCTGACAGACCTGCCTGTAAGCAGATAGCCTTCTTCCAAAGCAGGGGCTTAAGTAAGATAGAGGTACCTCAAAAATAACATGATCATCTCAGGTCACCCCGATAAAGATCTGTGGAGGTTGTCATGTCATGAAATAAAAGGAAAGATATGATCTGAAGAAAAGCATAATAGTCCAAATCTTGGTATCGTTATGAATGTTATCTTACGGTCTCCATAAATTTAGTTCTCTGTGGATAATAAAATGACCTTTTCAGACTAGCTTCTTTCTTGTGCACCCTGTACAAAGTTAGACAGTCCCATAATAGTATACTAATATATACTGTGCAGTCTTAACGTTTACACAACTTGGAGTAGAAGCAACATAAAAAGTATGAGCAGTACTTCATGTGCCTGACTAGGAAAAAAAGATGTGGTTTCTTCCAAAAGAATGAAACCAGCCCATTTGTAGACTCCATGCTAATCTGCATCTTTCAGAGCTTTCCAACTAACAAATTCAGCTGAAAAACGCATCCGCCACTGAGAGCTGTGCAGCAAAATATCTGTGTGCAATAGGCCTGCCAGCTGCTGGCATTTCAGGCCTCTCAGTGGCATGAGCTGAGTAGCACATATTTGTGCAAGGGAAACAAATCAAAAAGCCTCTTCAATTTACTCATTCTATCCTGTTTGGAAGGACCTCAAAGCTTCTTTTTACCAGCTATATTTGTTTGTCTAATAAAAGGTATTACCTCTCCCTATAAACCTTGCCTAACAGTTTGTAACAAAGTCTTTTTTATTTTTGAAGCTTATTTCAATAGTAACATTCTTTCAGCTATTTATCTTCAACTGATTCTCATATCTGCTTCAGGAAGAACCTAGAGGTTTAACAATGAAAATTTTAAAATATGCATCTTACATGCTATCTCTGCACTGCCTGCAACAGTCTCATCTTTCCCTTCAGGGGAGACTTTGCTGGATCACAACAAAGGCTTCCTAAACTGTCCTAAAGAGCCAGGTGGCAGCGCAATTCATAATTATTCTTCAAAAATGTTCCTTTTTGCCCTATCTTAACCCTTCTCCCTAAACAAAAGTCTCCCGTGTGACCCCAGGACCACTTAATTGTGCTACAAGGTTTAAGTGTATCTAAATGGCACCGAGGACAGTGGTGAAGTTGAAGCACAGTGAATTTCGTTCACTCCTCCCCTGCTCCTCCGTTTCCTGGTTCATCTTGTATTTGTACTCTTTGCACTGAGATAATAAGGGCTGTATCACCAGAGATCTTCTATATATAAAACATGCAAGTGTTTCCATCAAATCCATGGAGAAACGGTCCTTGTGAAAATGGTCTGACCCTTTAATGCACTATATACATTGTGATTTGCAAGCTCCTGTACCACATACAATACTTTATCTGGAGGTACTCATTTTTTCAGAAATACATCTCCCTCACTGATTGTTCAAGGCTTTCCTAACTACCTAAGTGTAAGAACAACTGCAGGTAAGATAGCACCATTAAAATCAATGCTAGACTGGCGACATTTCATCATTCACATTTAATTTTTATCATTTCTCCCTGGTTGGCATACTTTGTACATATTCACTGTTCAAAGATTAGTTAACATCCCGAGGTAATCTTTGGCCTGACTGAGCAGTGTTACAACAGTATATGATTATTTATTTTTAAATAAGATTACAAATCATGGAGATTTTTTAATTCTTTATTGCCAAGTGGTAGAGACATTTTGCTAATGAATTGCTGACTTGTCTCCTTTTATTTACGATATCACCTATCTTAACCATATAATGGATTTCGGTGACAGAGGTTAAAGCGTCGTGATTCACAAAATTTTGATTTCAAGTAGGGAATAGACAGCAATATAATGAATTATGAAGAGATCGTGTTCAATAAACATTCAGTGATAGAAGGAGGAATGCAAAGACCAGAGAGGAGATTAACTCCAGTTTAAACCACCACTTGTTAATGAAAATCAGTCATTCGTAATAGGTAATATTCTGGTCTAAATACCTAGCTATATCTCTTGTTGGTATTTGGGGGAGAGGGGGAAGTGGAGGGAGGATGGAAAGAAGACAGCAAGAGACCCGATCATCACCGTGACCATTTCAATCAAAGCCCCTGTTCAACATACAGAAGCATCCTCAAACGTTAAGCTAAGAAATGAAAAAGAGTAAAACTAAATTACTCCCATGCTACAGTGTGAATCAGTCACGCATCCTTACTTGGGTAAGAAAGCTTAATTATGTTAACCTGTCTTTAAAAGGTTATTAGAAATGGAGGTGGAGAGCTCAGAGATGGACATCAAGAACGATCAAAGAATGGAAGTACTTTATGTGGAGAGAGTGGAAAAATGAAATTACCTATCTTAAAAATAGGCAGGATAGAAAAACGGAGAATAAAGTTAGGAAGGCAGATAAACCTATTCCCATTTTCTTACAATACTGGAATTAAGTTAAAAGACAGGAAATTTCAAGGCAACAACAGCAAAAAAACCCCACCCTTTGATACTCGGTCAAAGTCTGTATGCGGATTTCATTGCTACAAGATGCTTTACAGCATCAGCTAACTGCTAGCCAGTACAGAAGTCACAAAATAGAGAGCATTGGAGCAGGGGATGCTTGTACAGAAATTAAAGTTTTGAAATCAATATAAACCGTGATGCTCCTTGGCATGAAACAGCCTCCAGTTATTGTGGGAAACTCTTTTGAAAGACTGTTTCTTTGCAGAAACCTAATGCAGAGTTCTTTCCCAAAACTTTCTGAAGCAGGCAATCAAGGCTGCTGCTGGATATCAGACTTGATAAACTAATTCTACAGTCTAGTTAGGAAGTTCTTCAATTTCTGCTAGTTGTGTTGAGTTGTAATGAAGAGTCTCCCTCTAGATGCTAAAATTCTCAGCATAGGATTTAGGCTGTGGAAGAGGGAAGTTACAGGCTGCAACTTATTTTAGAATGGGACTTGCATGGAATAAAGGAATCTGTTAGCCTCCCTCTGCAGAGGAGAGCTTAGACATGGCCAAATGTGAGATCTTAACGTCAGAAATGAACGCCTAAAATCCTCTTCTGCAGCCTGTATACACCTCCTTAGTGCCCCAGTGCCTGTATCTTTTGGAAGAAGCTATATATCAATGAGCATAGCTTGGTTTTTAAGAGGGAGAAGAAACTAAAAAAAAAAAAAAAAAAAAAAAAAAAAAAAAAGGCAAATATTTGAAAGCAATTTTTCCTTCAAACAAAAGGTTATTTGTCAAAACGGTTCAGACAGTTGAAACGGAGCTATTCTGGGATTGTACTAGAATAATCATCCACCCCTAATCAGCTATAATTCCCGAGCCTTCTCTGATCTGGTAAAACTCGACTGAACTCAGTGAGGTTACGCTGTCACCAGCTTCGGAAGAATCAGCTCAAATCTAGCCGTGGTATAAAGCAGTTTAAAGACATACGTTGCAAATTTTAAAGCAGCTGTAAATGCCCCGTTATATGTAAAGAGGCACAGTAAACGCATACAGTGTAGCTCCAGTTTTGTTCTGACACCCTGTAACGATAGCGGGGAGGTTAACCAGAGGGGTAACTGGGCGGCTGGGCTGGGGGAGCGGGGGGCAGCAGGCACTGCTCCGGCGGGCTCCTTCGAACAGCAGCGGCTGCGAGGCTTGCTCTCGCCTCCCGCCGTGCTTCCAGCTCGTCCGCAGCTCATTTCCAAGGGACCCGGCGGGGGCGAACGAGAGGCCTGGTGGAGCCGCC